GAATAAGTTATATCTAAGAATTAGTGGTTTTAACCCTCCCTGGCGGTGCAGCAGGTTGGAGCCCAGCACTGTGAAGCTGTCTGCAGCCACTCGGCACAGGTTCAGCCCCTGGCCAGGGAGTGACCCACAGGGCTCAGCTGACCTCTCCTGTCTCCTCGCTGCTCCCTCAGCAGTGTATTCTCAGTCGATCCCCCTGTTCTGCTCCCCCTGCTCTGCTTCTCTGGTGAATCCTCTCATCCCCGCACTTCTGGCCTGTACCCCAGTTTTTGCATGTATAAATAAATAAATCTTTAAAAAAAGGAATTAGTGGTTTTGCTAAAGCCAAAACCAGATTGTTTTATGTACATTTTCCTAAGTATTAATAAAGCTAAATCAAGGCAGTGCTAAGTACCACTCTTTGTTATTTTTGCCCCAAACAATACATTTTACCTGTCACTTATGATAAATGAAAACCAAGCCAGCTCAATGCAGAGTTTAATTCAGTGGTCTGCATTGGCTGATAGCACGTTTTCTGTGTATGTGATGAAAATGTTTTCACTCTTTTAAAAGATCGCTCATTTTGGACCATGTCACTTTCATATCATGACCCCAAAGCCTAAATTTAGTGAAAGTAATAAAACTTGGATTTTATCATTTATTCCATAGACATTAATTAAGGTTCTGCTTATTAATGCCTCTTCGGCTCAAACGTATCTGGCCAGTCTCCCAGCATTCTGCAAGAAATGGGTGGGGTGGGGAGGGCAGGAGTCACCTCCTTCCACTGTCTTTCTGTTGGCAATATCCCTAATCATCATTTTCCCTGAAATAAATTGATAGGCCCATTTATCTCATCATTCAATTTTTTTTTTTTTAACTTACTCGTTCTTCTCCACTTGTGTGACTTCCAAACATCTTCCAGTTTCTCTTGGAAGCTACCAGATGTCTTCGTTTAACTAGTCCTCTACATAATGAACACATTCTTTGGATTTCTGTTCTAGAGAAAAAAAAAAAATGTTTGCCCGAATTAAGGCCTTGAGCGTGGTTAGGGCAGGTTATCCAAAAAGGATGCCTGGCTGAAAAAGCCCTCTGTGAGGAGGAGGAAGCACCGTAGCAAGCGGCGGAGGCTGCACTTAGGCCTCCCCTCGTCCCCAAGAAGTGTCGTTATGTACACATGGCGTGTGGACCTCGATTCAAGTTGGAAAGATAAAACAAAAGCCAAAGACGCACGTCTGTGGGAAAGCAACGGTTTTAGAATGCAGCGACGCCAGGGTACTGTGTTTGTCTAGAATCTCCTCGGTCCTTGAAAAAATAGAAAGTGAAGGTGAGAGAGGGAAGATAATTCAGAGGAAAACACTAGCTAATAACAACGGGACAGAATAAACGAACACACAATAAAAGATTCAAGAGCGTCTGTCTATCGAGTTTGGATAAGAAAGAACAAATAAAGAACATAATTATAATTAGCGGAGAGGTAGCCATCAAACACAGATGTAAAAATAAAGAACGAAAAAGCCTTGTTTAATAAACAGATTCAGAGCTTCTGCGGCAAAGCTGTCAGCCCAGAGAAAGTTGGAGGCCTGAGGGCGAGGACCCGGCGCTCCCGGGCGGGCAGGAAGGAGGAGGCCTCGTGTTGACCATCGCTTGGATTTCCCGCCCCGCACAGGGCGGCCAGGCTGACCCCCGCCCCCTGAGTTGTCTCCCGTCTCTGTCCCCCCACCCTCCCTCCACCTCCCTGCTTCTGCCAGCAAACCCACACACACTCACGAGGACCCTGCTCACTGCACACTCACATCTGCTTCGCCCCCCCACACACAGTCCTGCAGACGCTCACGCAGTGACACGCACCGAGAGACGCTGACACAGCACACCCGCGGACTCACGCGCACACTCCACGTGCCCAGACTCACCGACACACAAATACGCAGCCACACACACTTGCACATCACAAGTGCACACACACCTCCCTGCTGTCCCTCAGGCCCCTGCCCGGCCCCAGCCCCCGCCTCCAGCCCCTGGAGCACTGTGATGGGTGACAGAGCCAGCCCGGGGGTTCACATCTCCTAGCTCAGGGCCTGGCTTACAGTGAGTCATAGTGACCTTTTGAGTCAGAAAAATGAACCCTTGGTGATGCCCAGAGCGCAGGGGTGTCTCCTCTCCCCTCCGGCCTCCCTCCTTTCCTCCCCTCCTCCTTCCCTCCATATCTCTCTCCTTCCTTCCTCCCCCTCCTCCTCGCTCACTCTCTGCGTCTCCCCCCCGTCTGTCTGTCCCCCTTCCTCAGAAACAGCTCCCAGTTCTGTCTTTACGGCCCATCCCTGTATTTATTGCTTTTGCTATTTCTATTTTGTGTGGCATTGCATCACCGAATGCTGCACACTCTCATCCTCGGGACTGGATACGGACAGCTTGCCTCCAGCTGCTGCAGGGAGCCAGGAAACACGCCTCAGGGCTGGGCCACCCCGGGCTCTGGTCCTGACGGAAATGAACCCCGCTTCTGCTTGAGAGACCAGCCTCTAGCTTCTCCGAAGCCCTTGATCTCGGGGTGCTTCCTTTGCCTCACTGAACCACAGGAGTGAGGGCCACTCTCGACCTCTGGGCCCGCGTGACTCACTGCCTGAGGGGACCCGGCATATTCACATTCTCAGGTTCACCCCAAACAGCACATCAGGCGCCCCCGGGCTGGCGGAGCCCTGGAAACACACAGGCCATCGTCACGCAGATGAGGTGTTCGCAACACTGATTTTACGAATAATTTTTCAACTGTGGCATCGACGGAATATTCAAAAGAGCAAAATGTAAAAGAGAAATCCGTACCGATACAGTCCTCTGTCGGCCTTAGCTGCATCGTAGGCAGCAGCTGGAGACACACAGAAGGTGCGTCTGTGTAAGCTTGGATTTGCTGTGGAAAAGCGTTCAAGACTGAGAAACATCCTAAATGAAGACGCATACCTAGGAAGAATGACTTCCAGTGTGTGTTATCTCTACTCCTAGAGAATTTTCTATGAAGGCTGGGGTTTCCTCTCCGGAAGAAAAAAGAAAATGCCGTTTATGACCATGGGACTTTGTAATGGGAAAAGAACAGTTTCGAGAATTCCTGCAGAAAAGCGGAAGCACCAGCCTGGCCCCTGGGTGCCCCTAAGGGCCAGGTGCTCACCAGCTGACTGTCAGCCGTGGAAGGCTGATGAGGGGTGCACCCTGCAGACCGGAGGTCCCCACAGTACCCAGTCTGGGCCTTCTGTGAGGACACCCGCCGGGACCTCCCTGGGGTGAAGGGTTCAGTCGCAGCGCTAGGAAGCTGTGAACAGACGCACAGAAGGTGCTACCGAGGCCTGAGTTCAGTCCCTGCCCCTGGTGACCCAGGGGGCACAGCAGACCCCTCCTGTCTCCCCACTGCTCCCCTCCGCAGTGAGTTTCAGTGGATCCAATTTTCTGCTCCCCCCTCCACCTCTAGCGGATCCTCTCAACCTCCCCCCACACCCCCCACCCCGCACCTCTGGCCTACACCCCAGCTCTGTGTGCATAAATAAATAAACCTTAAAAATAAAAGGAAAACGCCCTTCGCAAGGGAGCATGGGCGTGACTGTTTTTCTGATGCTCATCCCCTGAGGCGCTGCAGCCTAATATGCTTCATTTTTTTTAACACTACTTTATGTCTCAATAAAATTAAAACCAAGTGACGGATTTGACTGGACATAGCTTCGGTCACGTCTGTTTCTGATGCTCCAGTGGGGGCTGGCGAAGGCAGCTTCTCTGCTGGTCACCGGTATTCAAGTCCCTGGAGTCCAGAAAACCTGTCACTGACCTCTTTTGGAAGGGGAGGGGAGGGCATAAAATGCCAAGGCAACAGCCACAGTGTCATCCAGAGCGACAAGATGGCACAGAAATCTATATTCAGCGGCTCCAGCGCAGACGTATGCCGCATGGAAAGGGAGAAGTTTCCCTGGGCAGGTGTGCGGGGTTGTCAGCATTTCTGTGCAGTGATTCTGCGGCCTGATCCCAGCACCTGCCCCGTCCGCCTCCTGGGATTGCCTGCCCCGGAAGCCAGGCTGGTGCTGCCTGGTGACGGGCCTGGACGGGGCTGCGCTGGCCCCTCTTTCCACGGCCAGTGCAGCCACGCCGGGCTCCGAGTGGCGTCACCTTCCTCCGTGCCGGTGACGGTGTCAGCTTCGCCGAGACTCTGCCGGCGTGTGAGGTGGCCTCGAGTGTCAAGCAGAAGCCAAAACTGGCGAATCTAAAGAAATTGGGAGGCAAAATAAAAGGGTTTCCGTTGTATCGTTGCTGTCAATCATTTTCTAAAGGACAAAGGTATTTTAAACTCCCTGTCCCGAGTTTGTCTCAGACTAGAGAGGGGCCATTCTGGATGCTTTCCCGAGAGAAGCGGTCCCGTTTCGGGGCGAGGGAAAGGAACGAAGACAGGGACTGCAGGGCAGAAGAGGCTGTGGTGACAGGCCGCAGGTGGTGGGAGTTAAAGCAGGACACGCTCGTCACACAAAAGCCGACCGCGGTGTGTTACCTGCAGCCGTAGGCTGCTCATGTAGCTAAACGTATACATGTAACTAATGCAATATGTGTGTGCATGTAGATGTGTGCACACAACTGAACATACACATGTGTGTATGTGTGTGTACAACTCAATTAAAAAGAAAAGCTGCCGTTGCTCTGCTCACTCACCTCCCTCCCATTACAAGCCGGGGGTTGGGTCCGCCCATCCACCTGCCCAGATCTTAGCCAAACTAGAAGCACTCCTCTCGCTTACCTGTCGAATTGTCCAACCACTCACCTGTAGAGTTTTATCTACACTGAATTTCTTTTTCTTAGCGACTTACCTCCCAAACGTAAGCTGCTCTAAAATGCTCTCCATGGTAAACCAGCAGTTGCAGACCAGGCCCTGCAGCCAGGTGGCCTATCCCGGTCTTAGCGTTGAACCAGGTGACGCTATGCCAGAGCGGGGTCTACCTGGGCAGGGGGCCGCGTGCGCGCTCCTGGTGCAGCTCGCCTGACCTGTTCCGTGTGCTCCTTTCCAGAGCTGGAGGCCGAGGAGTGGTGCAAACACCTGTGCGTGGAGTGTCTGGGGACGCGGCTGAACGACATCAGCCTGGGGGAGCCCGACCTGCTGGCCGCGGGGGTGCAGCGCGAACAGAACGGTAAGTGCGCTGCCCACGCTCCTGCCCTGCAGCGGAGCCTCGAGGCCCTGGCGGGTGGACCTTCGCCCTCCGGCGGCCCCACTCCCCTGGGGCGCCCAGTGCTCAGCTGCACGCACCTCGCCAGCCGGCCTCCGCCCTACCGCTGGCCACGCGCGGCCCCCAGAGATTGTTCTCGCGCTTGCAAGTTAACGCGAGCGAATGCCTCTTGCACCGGCACAGCCGTTCGTCTAAACAAGTAACTAATCGGTTAACTCGCCGGATATAGGGCTTCGAAGGTACAAGATCCTACGCTTCCTTCTCGGAGGACTGTTGCAACTTTGAGTGGAAATTAATGAGTGTGGCTTATCGTGCTATTGTCTTAGCTGCTTCTCCAGATGAAGGAGCCCACAGGGTCTGGGGAGAAGGCTGTTTGGGGTCCTGGTCCCCAAAGGCGAGAGACAGAGACAGCGACGGGAAAGACGCCCTGGCGCCTTTTCCCGTAGAGGCGCGAACCCTGTGACAGGGCCGGGCCTCTGCCATCCCCCTCACACTATTCCCAGAGCCTCGTCTCTACACTCTATTGAGAGTTAGGACCTGCGCGCAGCCCCTCCCGAGGGCCTCCAGGAGAGACTCGGAGGCAGCGCTCCCCTCACCGCCCCTCGCCCTCGCCCTCGCGTGGCCAGCGCCCCTGGTGCCTCACTGACCGAGGCAGCGCCTTCTGGGAGAGCCGGCCGCAGGCAGCAACGAGAGCCGAGTCGGGGAGAGGGTTATCGTCACCTCAGAGGGCGGGGTGGCGTAAAAGCAGGAGCTGGCGATGCATCCAGGTTAGCCAGGACTTGAAAGGCTGAGAGATGTGGGGAGGCGGCCTGTGGACAGCCGGGGATGGTCCCCGGGGAGCCCCTGGCCTTGATCTTGGCCGTGAGAATGGATTACCTTTTTTTTTTTTTTTATGTGAATCACTTTTGTTTATTAATTTTATTTCATTTTATTTTTATTACAAAGTTTATTTTTACATCATTTTGCACATTTTTTTTTCCATCTCGATTGTAATCCCCGCGGGTTTCCCATCACCAGATCACCCCTGTGCCACCACCATAGTCCCGTGCATTTCCCTCCCTTCCCTCCCCCCCCCTTTTTGATCCCATTCCCCACTCCGCCCCCACAGAATGTCTCTGGTATATGGTTGTTCATTATTTTTGTTATTTTCTCGCCTGGTCCATTATACTCCTGCTACGAGTGAAACCATCCGGTATTTTTCTTTCTCTTTCTGGCTTATCTCACTAAGCATGATCTTTTCCAGCTCCATCCAAGTGGCTGCAAAAGACATGTGTTTCTCTTTTTTGGTTGCTGAGTAATATTCCATTGTATATATGTACCACATCTTTCTAATCCAGTCATCTACTTTTGGGCATTTGGGCTGCTTCCGTGTTTTTCCAATTGTAAATAAAGCAGCAATAAACATGGGGGTACAAGTATCTTTTTCAATCAGTGTTTTTGTGTCTTTTGGGTAGATACCTAGGAGTGGGATTGCTGGGTCGTAGGGAAGCTCCATGTTTAGCAGTTTGAGGAACCTCCAAACAGTTTTCCATAGTGGTTGTACCAGTTTGCATTCCCACCAGCAGTGCAGGAGAGTTCCTTTTTCTCCACATCCTCACCAACAATTGTTGTTGCTATTTGTTTGAAGATGTGCCATTCTCACTGGGGTGAGGTGGTATCTCATTGTGGTTTTAAGTTGCATGAGAATGGATTACTTTTGCTGGAGGCTTAGCTGGAGCGAGCGGCTCCTGAGCTCTGTTCAGCAGAACCCGGCCTGTGCTGGCTACTCACGTCCAGCCGCCACTAAGCTGTCAGCGCCTCTAGGTCCAGCTGCCGTCTAGATTTCTTTGCACACACTCTCTCGCGTTGCATCTCTGATCTGTTTCCTGGGAGCTGAACTAAGTCAAGACTCTGTAATCACACCGCTTAGAGTATGCTGCTCAGCCACAGTGGAATCAAACCAGGAGAGACGTTTGTCAAGTTCTAGGTGAGGAGCGAGTGGGGGAGTGGAGACATGAAGCCTGGGCTGGCGGCGGTGCTGGGGCTGCCTCACTGTGACCGCTGGGCACGCCGCCCGTCCAGATGCATAATGCAGGGCTTGGTTTGTTTTAGTTTTTTCTTTCTAAAGTGGTAATATCAAAGTTAGGAGTCTATCGAAGAATATAAAGGGAAATGTTTAATGTGATTTTTGAGGACAAAATTAGATCCAAGCATGACGTGAAAACCACAAGTTTGTTAAGCATCAGTAAAAACAAAGAAGGCAAAACATAATTCTTCCTATACTGTACAAAAGACCTGAACGTCTCAGGTCATCAGTGCCATAAATGCTTTTCCAGGTTATTCTGTTTATTAATCAGAACTTTGTACAAAGGCATATTTGTGCTTTAAATATATGAAATTGAATACGATATAGCAAATCATTTAGAGAGGCAGATTTCATGTAAAGGACCCCTTCAATGAACATGGCACCCTATAAGAAAATAGTCTTACTTGAACACAGACACATTCACAACTGCTCAGCCTCTCCAGTGTTTTGCTTTGAAAGGAGAATTCATGTAAGGAGCGTCTTTATCTCATTTCATCGGTTTTTCTAGCACTGAGAATCTCACGTGGTGTAGGAGAAAAGTAAACACACACATGCGCACACACACTTTCATGTTTCAGAAAACAGTGACGTGAGAAAGCGCATTAAATAAACATTTCACTTTTAAATTCCTCTGCCTCTGATGATCTTTCCATCTTTCAGCGGTATTTAATGAAGATAGCCTGCACTGGCTTTAGAAGGTAGGACTGCATGGTGTTACAGCCATTACTTACAGAAGATTTATGTTACACAGCGGCAGTGCTAGGAGACAGGTGATGTACAACCTCACTGCCAGCAGGAGTAGCACCTCACCAGGAAGCAACTCACCTGGAAGCTCCTGGGGCTCTACTGGGAATGAACTCAGGACATGTCCAATTAGCTCCTGATGCAAGAGATGCATCTGGAACAAAATGGAAGGTGACCCCAGAGCTGGCCATCTGGTTCATTCAGCCAGAGGCTTCGGTCCAGTCCAGGGCCTTGTAGACTTGCCTAGCACCGCCAGGAGTCCCTATACTGTTAGCCCAAAATGGGGTACAGTCTTTCCCAGAACTAAAGCAGATTCCTAGTTTGTTTCTAAATTATTTACCTCGTTGCCATAGCAACCATGTCCTACTTTCACCTCAGATTCCCTTGTAGGTCATTCCCTCATTCATTATTCACCCAGAAAACACTGAGGTCCTGTGATACGCATAAACCAAGCCAAGGAAATGTAGACTCAAACAAAATGTGGGCATCATTCTTAAGCCGATAGAGTCATGAGGGAAACAAACCTATACACAAGATGTTTCCATCTTTGCTTTTTAAAATCACGCTGTGCCCCTGTCATCGCAGAATCTCGATAGCGGAGGCCTGGAAGAGTGTCTTTTATCTCCCGGGCATTAGTGGAGGGGCTTGGGCTCAGGTCGACTGAGCACAGCAACTATTGGCTCCCAGCTGCAGATGGCACCACCACAGGTGTCTCTTCCTCCTTACGCTGGCAATTACCCAGGACACACAAGCCAGACCTGCAAAACAAAAAAAAAAAAGATGTAAGCCTCTGCAGGCATCAAGTCCACGGAGCTGCCGCTGGCCACTGGAGTCCTACGGCCAAGCTCAAGAGTTGTGTGTGCAGAAGGTCACTTCTCCGTGAGCACAGGACCCAGGTTACAATGCGTGATCCGATCCGGGGAGGAAGTGAAGAATCGCCAGAGATGCAGACAGAGGCCGGCAAGGCATCAGAAGTTTTAATTGCCTAAAAACTCTATGTGGTGTGGAAGGGCCGCCAGAGTGTCCTGTCGACCCCCCCGGCCCGACCCCATGTGCTACCACCTGGGAGCCAAAGTCGACCTGTCACAGAAGTGGCCAGAAGCAACCTCATAGGGAGGTGGGTCTGTGCAGACCAGGAGAGAGGATGAGGGCTTCTCCCCCTGTTGACCTGGGTGTATCAGCTCAGCCTGGAGGAAAAGAGAAGGAAGCTCAGAAGCTGAACATTGCCCAGGATCTGGTTTGAGTAAGTGCGTAGCAGAACACACACACACACGCACCAAAGGGACCTCAATCAACATCAACTAAGAGATGTTACTTTTTTGTTGTATACCCAAATTCTGACAATCCATTTCTTTGCTGTTACAGTAAAATAACCACAGTAAAGAACAAGGGTCAGATAGACAGCATAGAGGGCACACACATTGCAAACCGATGCAAGTTCTGTCCTGCTGTTGATCAGCGATGGGGCCACAGTCAAGGGTACTGGAGTTCTCTTTAAGTCTCAGCTCTGTACGTTAAGGGTGAAAACGAGAGTTTATGCCTCATAGGATTGTTGTGAGGATTAAATAAAATACAGAATGAAAAGCAGTGGCCTCTGCTAGGTGGGGTATGAGTGAACATCTCCCTCATCTTATACCAGAAGGTTGTTACCCAAGGAGACTCTGGGCCCTCACCACAGTGACCAAATAAACATCTCTGAGACCTGGGGTTGGTCCGGCATCTGTGTTTGGCAACCTCGGTGGCTCAGATGTGCACGAAACTCTGACAACTCAAGGTAGTAACCTTTCAACTAAATTTAGTATAAAAAAATCTACTAGTTCGGGGCCTCCCTGGTGGCGTAAGAGTTAAAGCCCAGCACTATGAAGCTGTCCTCAACCACTGCGGCACAAGTTTGACCCTCTGCCAGAGGTGACCCGCAGGGCACAGCAGACCCCTCCCAACCCACCCGTCGCCCCCCTCAGCAGTGGATTGCAGTCAGTCTGTCAGTCTGCCTGAACTGCTCTATACTGTCTCTGGTGAATCCTCTCACACCCAGTACCTCTGGCCGGCACCCTAGTTTTTACATGCATAAAGAAAACAATCTTTAAAAATGTCTACTAGTTCAGGAATTAATTCATTTCTTGCAAAATTCCAGAAATCTTGACATAAATATAAT